CCAAAATTATTTGGCCTTAGAAACCTTTTTTCATGTAATACCTATTTAAAACATCTCACAGAACTGTGTTCTTCAAAACACTCTCTAGAGAATGCTGTACTAAGATAAAAATGTAATAAATACAATGTAAAATTTTTTTTAGTGACAAGGTATTTTTTAACAACTTTATAAATTATTTCAGTTATTTACCAATGAAAAATATCAGCCGTTTATTACTATGTTTTATGGAAATCATAAGCGATAGCAGTGTTTATGGATTTGCAGATTCAAGACTATCTCAGACTGCATTTCCTGCAAATAACAAGTCTATATGTTTTTAACACAAGCAGTTGGCATAAATCTTTAAGTATAAATAAACAATTCTCTGCATTTTACAAGCTAACAAGTTACATCTGGCTTTAGTTCTCTCAACTTTAAAAAGTGAATAATAATAACTACTAGGTCCTTCACTTTCAGGGACAATGACAAAACAAACTAGAGTTTTAGTCCTCAATTTAGAGCATTACCTGTACTAATGATGTCATCTGGAAGCGTATCTCCACAGTATCTGAAAGGGAATTTTTAGAAAAGAGAAGTCACTTGAATGAATATTATATAGCAATTGTAGTGATTCTCACTGATAATTAAAATGATTTCACTTAAGTAATGGCTCATTTTTCTATAATTTTTAAAATTTGCATTTTTTTACATGAATTCATAAGGGAGAAGAGGGGTTGAAACAAAGTTTGCTGTTCGAAGTAATATTCTCACAATATTAATGAGATTTTTAAGAAAAGATTTGTGGCATTTCTACTTTGTGTACCTACAAAAGTATTTGTACAGTAGATCATTTGAATCTACTTGGAAAAATTAAAAATTTGTTTCTGATTAATTTTATAAAGTTTTCTTCACAGTTAAAGAAGAATGGGTGTATGGTTAGTGATATTAATATTTTGAGTTCTAGGATAGACTGACTTAAATGTGGAAAAATTATGTTGGACCTTATAGGAATAAAAAGGTTTGATTTTTATCTGTATCATGACTTGGAAGGAATTTACTTGCACATTATATAAAAAGGTAAGGGTTTTGTAAGTTTCTAAAAATGTAATTCATTCCACAGGAAGGAAGAGTCTGTTATAAAGATAAATTAGGCTGGGCACGGTGGCTCATGCCTATAACCCTAGCACTTTGTGAGGCTGAGGCCGGAGGCCGGGAGTTCAAGACCAGCCTGAGCAAGAGTGAGACCTGGTCTTTACTAAAAATAGAAAAAATTAGCTGGGTGTGGTGGTGCTTGCCTGTAGTCCCAGCTACTCAGGAGGCTGAGGCAGGAGGATCACTTGAACCCTGGAGTATGAGGTTTCAGTGAACTATGA